GCTACAGTCATCTGTGCTAGAACTAGACCGCTGTTAGTGTGGTAATTACAATGTATTTATTTATAAGGAGGGCAAGATCAGTTTCCCGTTCCCTCTGGTAGTTATATATTGTAAAAAGAAGGTTATGATTATGCTCCAGGTCCTCCATGTGGTAGCGTATATACATGTACGTACAATAGGGGAGGCAGGGCTCAAACTTAAGTCTCCTGTGGTAACTATATACTATAGGGAAATTATTGATCCTGATACAATCCCGTGTGGTAACTATATACTATAGGGAAAGTAATGATCCTGCTACAGTCCCCTGTGGTAACTATATAGTATAGGGAAATTATTGATCCTGCTACAGTTCCCTGTGGTAACTATATAGTATAAGGAAAACATTGATCCTGCTACAGTTCCCTGTGGTAACTATATAGTATAGGGAAATTATTGATCCTGCTACAGTCCCCTGTGGTAACTTTATAGTATAGGGAAAGGAATGATCATGCTACAGTCCCCTGTGGCAACTATATAGTATAGGGAAAGTAATGATCCTGCTTCAGTCCCCTGTGGTAACTTTATAGTATAGGGAAAGTAATGATCATGCTACAGTCCCCTGTGGCAACTATATACTATAGGGAAAGTAATGATCCTGATACAATCCCGTGTGGTAACTATATACTATAGGGAAAGTATTGATCCTGCTACAGTCCCCTGTGTTATTTCTGTCATCCATCTTCATCAGTTCTTGATTGCATTTTAAGGGGATAGTTGGTACTTCGCCCACCAGCACTATTCGAGGTGGTAGCGATAATCACAGGGATCAGCATCGGTAAAGGGGAGGGATAAACTACAAATCCAGGGTTACCTACCTTTTACGCATCTCAGAGTTAAAGCGAAAAATAATTTTATCTCAAAACCTTATCTTAATTTTAAAAGAAAATTGAAATATAAATGTTAAGAAATCATTCAAATATGCGTCTTTATTTTGGTTACATGTTACAAGTTTAAATACTTGTATTAGCATAATAATATAGGTTTTAAAACTGCACACCTGGCAAGATCGAGTTTATAAGTTATAAGTAGTACATTATAGTTTTTATTGTTTTAGGTGATAACGTTTTATTGATTTCAAACACTAGTGCTAACGTGCACTGACGTGTAACAACAGGTCCCAAAAGTCCCAATTGGCCTGTAGTAAGATTTTGTGAAAATGACGTAGAATGTTACGTGTGCTATTTCTGGTGTGATAGGTGGATTGGATTGAATGCTCTTTCCTTGACGTAGTTAAAGTAATATTCTGATCGCTGGTTGGATGAAAAGATTGAGAAAGAGAAGAGGTTTTGGAAGGCTCAGAGAGAAATTAGTTCATTGATTTAAGTGTTAACTGATCTGTGAGGAAGGCACGCTATTTGTACTTCCGGAACATCAATTTTAACTTTGAAGGGAAAACAAAAAATGCATGAAAAATATATATACGTGTTTGATATATACTTTATGTTTGTATCAATTTCTACATGTGGATGACATCTATGTCGCAAGCTATTCAGTCGTGGTTTGGCTATATGTACGAATCGTGTTATAGAAGTTCCCGATACAGATGGTTTTAATGTGGGAGGAAAACAAAGTACCCGGATGAAACGATTGTACTTTGGCAGATTCAAAGCCCCACCATCTTGGTGAAATATAAGTGTGCTACCCACTGCGTCACCCGACCAGCAGAAATAGCTCATGACTCTTATGCATGGTAGTACGTGCAGTATAGGAACTATCTGGTGAACATTCCGGATTTATTCAGTTTTGTTTTGGAGTTTTCTCTTTCGCCAGTTTTCGTCCTGGTATGCCTCCTTCCTATACGAACTTATCCGTGATACAGACTATAACATTTGTTTTGTTCAGCAGTATAATTCTATAGGCTTTCGTAGACGTTTATCAAACACCATTTTCCGTATTTGGATGTCTCTTACTGTACTCCCAATTGTATTGTCTGACACACCGCTGTCCCCTGCCGCCATTACTACACCACGACATCGGCCAGGAGTAGTGTTTATGCTCACATACGTGTCTGCGACTATTCGTCAAGTTAGAAATACCATCAAGCTGAATGATAACTGCTATGTTCTCTTGCGTAAGAAAACAAAATAATGGGATACTCACAATCTTTGATTCTTAGAAACAAATTGATCGACAAATGTCTTTGGATTTGATTGGATACACAATATCGGGTGCCACATTGGTACAGGCGACGCTTAATCTTTCACAACTTCCAGTTTCGCCTCATTTTGCGTGTGGATTTTATTTTTGTTTTATTGTTTGGTCTGTTTTATCCTCGTTTGTTAGTTTGGTTCAGTTGGTTACTTGCAGTATAAGCAGCTAACGCTATTTCAAGATGTGCAGATCGATGTGTAATGTATTTGTAATAGCTGGATGCCTTATGCTGATGTATTTGCCTCCTTGCGATAATGTGAATCTGATGCCGACTTTAGAGTGCCACTTCACTTAAATACGATGTCAAAAGCACCCATCACAGTATTCCATCCGGTATCATTTACACTGACGAATTGTTGGTGATGATGTATATTTTATTTAAAAGAAGTTGTCAACAACTTGTAACGGTACCAAAAAAAACAAGGACAAAACTGCTATTCTGACAAAAACCTGTTTCTGTAAAAAAAAATCATCGTTCATCTCTAAAAGTAAAGGCGTCATCACTTTAGGAAAGAGTCGCCTACTTTAAGTGCACACGATAGGGTTACATTATGAACCGTGGAGGCGTCTAAAAAAGGGCAGACATTACGAATTCTCATTAAAACCGAAAGTGGAAACGAGGTGTTCCGAAGAACACAAGCGTTTCCAACACATTATGAGTCGCTCGTCATGATATGTACGTTCCGACGAAAATACATACTGATCCTTGACCAGTGTCCATTATGAACGTGTAGGATTATTTTAGGAAAGAAAAAGAAATATCACTACATATAGATCGAGACAGAACAGTACCGTGCCATGAATATTTGAATACAAGAACCTAAGCAAAGACTACTTTGGTTTTACAAAAGACAAAATGGTCGAACGGTTGTTCCGTATGTACATCAAACGCATAATATTACAGTGTCGAGAATGGTTCCAAATGATGTTAATAGCAAGCATCGAGAAAAAGTCATTCATAAATAAATGGTGGTCAATGTTGACTAACAATATGTTTTTAAATGTTAAAATTTAACATCTTTCTGACCTAGGTTTCCCTTGTCCTTGCTTTGTCCCACATGTCTTGTCCTTTGTCTTTTGTGTGCATTTGTTTTTTGTCTATATACCTAATGTCACGAATACCATTTATTTATTAATAATTTATTTGTATATTTATGTGTGTGGGTTTGTAAGTGTATGTGTGTCCGTGTGTGAATTCGTTTTTGTCTCTGAATATAGGTACATGCTTGATAAATATGTATTCAAAGTGAATTAATTAGCAACAACCCTTAAGCTTTAAGAGCTTGACCAACAATCATGTACCATATGTGTTGTGTCATGTCATGTAAACAGATTGAAAATGAATAATAAAAAAAAATGTTTTTAAACGAAAGGTGTCATATTTACAAAACATATTTTCAGTTTGAAAAGTAGCATTAATATCCCACATTGATCTGACCACACTAATACACGTATATACACGATCACTTACAGGCAGCCGACCCAGTGGTCGTATTGACAAGTCTGATGTGTTCCTAGCATCAATACAATAAACCAACCATAGGCACCTTTCAACAACGGCAAATTCTGTAATAAAAATCTATAATATGAAAGAAAAATGATAAATGAAATATTAAAGTCCAAATCGAAATAAACTGTTAATCTATGATAGAAAATACGATACAAAATAAAGGGGGACGCATTCGTACATGTAACACCATTCTCATCCTCAAACTCTGATTCTTTGCCGTTAATTCCAATTTCAAGTCGATATTTAATATTTCATATTTTTCAGTGAACTAAATTTAAAGCTTGGATGAAGAAGGAATCATGCAGCACAACAAGAGAAGCGTTACGTAAAACACTCCACTGGTTGTGCCACATAAACCTTTCTTGATTCATACTGACTGACAAACATGAAGAAATTACTACGAAATAAGCTCGAGGCTGATTTTGAGTACAATTCAACTATAACATGTACATCTCATTTTATAACGTCATAAGATCTCTACAAATTGCATGAAAGATGGTTTGAGCATAAAACTTCCGTTTGAACATATCGACAAGTACTGCCAGTTTATCATACAAAATAAAATTGGTACAGTTTATGTATGTTGCAATGTCAAAAATATCCCAGAGTTATTGTGTGTAATGTACGTGGTTAGTTTAAGATATAAAACGTTTAATGTTTAGATTACATATAGTGATATTGGAGTTACAATGTAAGCTGTATGTCCCAAACCGTTCGAAAACACCGTCGATAAATTTGTTTAGAGAATGAAATCACAGAAAATACAAATGGTCAATCACAACACTAACAAACACATTAATACAAGAACAGCACCAACCGCAAAGCTGAGCACTGCATTTTCGACGGTATATGGTACATGTACCAATATCCCAAAGTCATGTTACTAAAACCAAAAACACGGAAATAATGTCTTTGGGAAAGTTGTACAGCTCAACGACACTGCATAGTACGTCCCAGAACAGAGTTCTCCCACTACCCTTAAGTCGGGCAAACGAAAGATATATTACAAACAGCAAACCTTGTAAACTACTCAGTAAAATGGCCCCCACACGTCAAAGAACGCATTAAGTCAATGTACTCGAGTGGGAGACAATCATGACATATTACCATTGTCATTGTCTACGTGTTTAAGGGTAGGGCCCCGGGGAATGGCAGTTCGGGGGATATTGTCTGCTCCTGTAAACTCAACCATTGGATGCGGCGGCTGATTTCGTCGCTAAGGGGGCGTGGCTTATCAGAATGGAGATTTTACCGACAAAAGAACTAATCGCAGATCAATGATTCGATGGCTGGACGTTTGGCGTCACTTTCCGTCACAGCTAAGGTATAAGAGCGGTATCATCCGTCACTAGGAACAAAGGTGGCATACGGCAATCACACAGCACCAACTGTTAACCAACGACAGCCACCGCTTACAATACTGGTCATTGCTGGACGGACTTGCTTATCCTATAAGTGACATTTTTTGGGGGATAGCTGGTGTGCGAGTTTGAGAGAACTCTAGGATGAAATACATTTTACCTATAATACTGCTACTGCATTGCCATCAACTTATCACAGGTAAGTCATTGATAATCTTCGCATGTTAATAATAGGTGAAATAATTCTAAATACGCTTTGTTTTGTTACCTTTGGAAATATATTATATACTGGGAAATATTTGCTCAGTGAAACTTTCGCTCTTCACTGGTATATCATGGGAATACTATGTGAAGTTTGGTGCAAACTAATATTCGCGGTAATGATAAATTCGTCAGCGAAAATTACCCGTTACACAGTATCGGAACAAATGCGTAATCTTTTGTAATAAAACAAAATGTATGGCTATTTTTTAACGTTAATGTCAATATTATGCAGCTTTGCTTGATTTATTATTTCTTTTCCTTATATAAGAAATATTTTAAAACAGTTACGCACCCAAATAAGATAAAACAATTAGTAAGCGCCCGTACAAGGCTTCGGTGCCGTATCTCAACGTCACAGAAAACATTCTTAACAGATTTGTTAACGGCCATCTTATCTACATACAGGGAAATAAAGTCGAAGCATAGCATCTTTATTTTAGCATTGTATTAATGTAAAAGCTCGAGATTTTGATTCTTATCGTTAATCTAACGTAACCTCCTATAAAACGTCACTTCAGTTATAACTAATGAATGGCATTGTAAAGCGCGGTCTTTTATACTTTATCGTCGTTTCTACGGTGCGATCGTAAGATAAAGAACGACATTTTATTAGACAAATATCAAACAGTTTGAAACAACCGTAATTGATTTTGACGTAACTCTAATAGAAAATAATGTTAGGTAAAGTAATTTTGGTAACGGCATATACTAATTTGATACATTAACAAGTCGTTAGGATGCCGTAGGATTATTGGAAATGTAAAAATTCTATGCGGTCATCTGCCTTGTGAAAGCTGAAGGGTCGTGTATCGATAGATTGTAACAAGATACCTTAGTCGTAATTTCAAATACTGCGAAGTTGATTGTTGTCAGGGCCGGGGTATTATAATGATATGTCGTCTTGGGGATGTGAGGAAGGTAACGTAGGTGGCGCTACTGTCTTTGGAACAGACTGGCGATGACGTAATGAGCCGATATCTTCCCTACCTAGCCGATGCGCGTTCACGCCTGGCGTAACAGAATCGTCTCTTCGAACAAACGCTCTTTGGAGAAGACGTTGCCGGTCTGTCAAAGGAGATTTACGTCTCTTCCAAAGCACTTCTCCTTTACATAATGATAAAATTTGCAAAAGTTAAAGGTTTAATTTGATTTTCGTTTATCCATTTTAGTTCATAAAACTTTACAGGAGACGTCGTTTGTAGAAAACTGGAGATTTATCGAATCTGGCGTTGCCTTTTGACTGGTACAAACGAAAGGAATTACAATATTGTCGAAAGTGCACAAGCTTAAAATTGATAAAATTTGACGGGATGTCCATTTGTTTCTGGAATCACAAATAGCGGGGCGAGAGTGCATGATAAATGGGAGCCAGAATGATTCTTGATTAGATTACGAAAATAAACCAACTTTATAAAAAAAAATCATCTTAGCACGGATCTTCGAAATCAGTTTAAGATGAGACTTAGCTGGTTTCCTAAGACTTTAATTAGAATATATTATGTACTTTCTTTCTATTGGTCACAGTTTATCTACTTTACATTGTTGTCGGGGTCGGTAAAACCCTTAAATATGCTTGAAACATTTAAGTATTAGAGGTGTAAGCACAGGTTTTGCGGAATGGATTTGTGTTTTCAAAATAATTTAAAGTTAATAAATAGACTTCATTTGTTGAATATATATATAAATATATATATAATCTGTGAGAGCATGTAGTAATGGACAGGTTTTCCGTGTTTAAGGTAAACGTGTTACTTAGAATAAATATACAGCGTTATATGACAATCACTGTTAACACATAGAGACCGAATCCAAGCCTTCATTATAAAATGTATTAACTCTTGAAATATTCTCTTTACTTGTACTACAGGCTCAAACAATGAATCTAAAACCTTTTAAGCCAAATCAGGAAGAAAATTAAATATATTTGATCGATCGAAACATACAAGTCCCATTGTTTTAGAGCTTACACTGTAAAGCAGTGAATACATATATACATGATTACCTATGTGCGCAGTTCCAGGCTTTCAACTAAGTCTTACTGGCGGTTCAAACTCAATTTATTTTAGATCATCATACCTAACCATGTAACACAATTAAAAAACGCATGTATTTGTTTATTTAGCATAGAGTTTTGTCTGGAAAAGGCCATCATTGTTCGGTAATTGGGCTCTGTTCGTACATAAATCTGGCGTTAATGGTTTTATATACAGCTGGCATTTCGATGAATCCTGGTTAGGATTCGACTATGTCATGAACAGATTCCTATTAGCATGGTTAAAGTACACACATAAGCAATTGTAATTAATTACTTGTAAACATGTTTCATTCATTGTCTGAGAGATGGCATTTTCCTGTCTGCATATGGGCTCCAGAAATCTCATGTGTTTATCGGTATGGATGTTTACAGATGTAATATAAGAAATTGTATGGCATAGACTATGTTTTAACTGTATATTTGCACAATAAAATCACTCCATTTTGCACTTTTACATATAATCCCTTTTACTTTTTGATAAAGTCTTATTTTGTTGACAAGCCGATTTCTTGTTTAAGCGATCAATCATTCAAATGTCACATTGTTCCAATAATTTGGATAAAATTCGTAGAGACGTTAATTACTGTTTTCATTTTTAGACTACTTTTTTTACCGTGCGTCATAGCTTCAGAAAGCATAATAATGTAGATTGAGGAATTGACCATGAGAATAGTTTCATAAATTCAAATCAATTTGTTTAATGAATGAGTGTAGTACGTTTGAATCGGAGAGAGCCGACAAATAGAAATCGTTCAAAAGGCTGATATTACCGCATACAAAAAACTCTTATATATCTAATGTGTAAAAACTATAACGTGGGTACTTGTCTGCGTTTAAGACGCTGAAATATTCTAATTTGCAATATCATATTATAGCACTGCACTAAGAATACTATTGTTTGATGCCGTTGGGTTTTTTTTAAATCATAGTCACACAAATTTATCATCGGCCACTTCTATTGTTTTTCCTAATCTGATGAACAATCATTACAAATATTTCTTCGTCTACGTTGATAACCTTTTCCATTAGGTTAAACGTTATTAACAGAAACATTATTTTACAGTTAAAAAAAATTCCTAACTTGATAACAAAGATTGGATCAGATTAATTGCATTTTGTTCATCATTTCAAAGTCAACATAAACAGATTAACATTGATTTGGGACCTGTCGATGTAATTTAAACGATTCACATAGAATTGGTGCCAAGAAAACATGCCGTGTAACACCCTAAACGGTCAGTGTTTCGTTCGACGTATGGTTACTGTGTTCTCAGGATCGAGACTCTCGTATTATTAATCTGTTCGGTCGTCAAACAAGCTCGTGGAGGTTTAACTAATGGTTTCGTCTGGGCTGGCGATCTTAATACAAAGGGGATATCGATGTTGGCTTGTTTCGTGAGCTCCTGTTTCTCTGTAATACGACTGCTTTACTTACATAATCTGAAAACTGTGTTATCTGAAACGGGTACATTTTGTATTCAAGGACTTGCGCTATGCTTGTGATATAAATGATGACGTGAGGACGTTCCTTTTTTATGTGTGCTTTAAAATTTATCTTTTGTTCTGACGTAAGTTGTATACTTTAAATGTTATATTATACTCACAGCGCATCACAAAAAAACTACACTAACGAATCTACACTATGAATCAGCATAACATTTTCCGACACAACGTTTACAAGAAATTGCATTTTTCAAATAGAATACTGAGAGAGAAAGATATTAAAGTTAAATCAAAATTACTAATTCATTTTAAATTTAAAGTGATGTTTTTTTAAATTATTAAGCATTTTTACAAATAGGATATATAATATATACTCCATTTAGTTTACACCAATTTTGTTATTTCAACTTATATCAATCACTCTTGTTGGCCCGGATGAGAGGGTGCAGAGGTTCTGAACTTGGTTTATTAGTTATGGACCAAAACTATACGTAACAAATCCGCGACAAAATGGCACAGCTATTGTCGGTGTATACATACAAATATTTAGATATGTTATACTACAACAGTAAACACGCATATTACAGGAATCAATACTGTAGTATGATATGCCATATGGAAGGTATTTAATGAATTATTTAAGTTACGTCATTCGGTGATACGATTCCAGTTGAGCGTGAGGACATTGAATGGATAGCGAAGCTCGGGTAAACATCTCGTACAAGATAAAAATAGAAAAAAAACACAGTGCTTATTCCTACAGTGTAATCTATTGAATACCAACATGAAAATACCACCGTCAAAGATTTCCAGTTTTTTTAATGCTAGCCACCCACTGGAAGCTTGGAAATTAAAAAATTGAACGGTCTATAGTTTCACGGTAATGGCTTAAATGCAATATCACATGAGAAATTAAAGCGAAATAATTATAATACTACAGTATAACGTATAATTAAGTAGCATAAATCTGTATGAAATATCAAATGTGATACTATAGTAAAATGTTTAAACATATGCTAAAACAGTGATAGTGTACGATGTCATATAAAAATACTATGCTTTGTATAGATATAAAACAAAGTAAAACATAATTGTATAAACTAGTATCCTTATATACAAAACTGTCATATAAAATTCGCAATATAAAGCAAAGTAGTATATATTATCATCATAACCGAAATGCAATGTTTGAGTCTGATAAAAAAGACAGTATCAAATATACGGTATCAATATAAAACAAAGTAATATATATATTATTATTATTGAAACATATAAACAAAGCACTAAGAGTCTGATAGAAAATACCATGTTAGCATGAATACATTGTCATGTAATATAACAGTGCACTACCTAAAATACAATAGGACGATAGATAAAATATCGGTCAAAAATTCCTCTGAAACGGTGACTACGTCGATCAAACTGTAACTATAACTTGTAGTACGATCCTTCTGTAG